CACGTTATACACTTGAACTTTAACAATGTCAGCCAGTCCTCAGAGCCTGCATAAAATTGAGCTCCAGGGTAGAACCCTCTGCCAACCTGTCCAGAACCACAGAAGAGACCAATAGCCTGATCACAGTTCTTTAAGCCCAATAGAAAGGAAGGTCACATACATTGTAGAACCGCTAACCAAGTCCATGTTTTCCCAACCTTATCTGGAATTGTAGGAATTGTAGGTAGACTCTATTAACCATCACCCTTTTTCTACTCTTATTTTACATAGGGGAAAAATGGAGCTGGGGAGAGAAAATTATTCAGACTGGTGTTTAAGCTTTCATTGAACTACTTCCACGATTTACACATTAAGTGTGAACTAAGTCCAGTCACATTCTGGACACTGGGGATTCAAAAGTAATAAGGTTCAATCTGTCCTGATGAAACTCACAACCCTGTAGAGGAGAGGGGCAAGTAAACAGCAAATTAAAATGTAATGTAATAAGCACTTTGATAAATATAAACTATGGATCATCTGAGAGCTTATAAAAGGGGCACTTAACCAGTCTTGGTGAGTAGAAACAGAGTCAGAAAGAAGAGTCTCTGAAGATGTAATTAGGTTAAGATGAGGTCATATTAAAACTGGATCCTAATTCGGTATTTCTGGTGTCATTATAAGAAGAGGCTCAGAGACACGCACAGAAAGAGCATGGTATGAAGACACAAAGGGAGAATGTCATGTGAAGAAGACAGAGGAAGCGATGGGTCAAGTGTCTACCATCCAAGAAACATCAAAGATTACCTGCAACACTAGAAGCTGAGGAAGACATGGAACAGATTGAGCCATACAGCCTTCATAAAGCACATGGCCCTAACTGATGCCTTGATTTCAGACATCCATCACTATAACTGTCTTGTTGTTTTAAACTGCCTGGTTCATGTCACTCTATTATAGCAGCCAAGGACACAAAGACCAAGCATGTGGCCCTTGAAGGAATTTGTCATTTGTGAATATTGTAAGTGAATTCAAACCACTAATATGGTTTGAAATATCAAATGATGTGGAAAGACAAAGAATTCAGCAGTAGGGCAAGATTAAAGGTTACCAAGTGTTTAATGCAAATGGCCAGCGTCTGAATGTAGAGGTAAGGCTCTCCATAGCAGCAGTCTTAGACATATGGCATTAAGGAGCCCGAGAACATCAGTCGTAACAACTGGGGCGAGGTTCTTTGGGGTACTGCCTCTCCTGTCTCAGGAATGTCATTTTACACAAAAGTCTACCATATTTAAGAATGTTAACAGTTTGCTCAATATGGACAAAAATTGCAGTAGTACTACATAGAGTTTTAATTAGTTAATGGATTTTATATGATTTAGTTAATTTAGCATATTTTGAAAAATAAAGAGCTCTGGTGGTAGGTAATATATAATGTATAATACTTGTAAATAAAATGCATTTATTATTTAATATATAATGTTGTTTTAACTTATTAGAATACCTGCAAAACTCCAAATCGCTAGCTACACAAAATGAGATGGGACCATCAACACAAAAAGTCAATGTTAATAAATATGGGAGAAAATGTTCAGATTTGCTAGCTAATTAAATTAAAAATACATTTTATTGGATTATTTAAAAATATTAGAAAGTATATATATACACACACTCATACACATACATGCAGAAATGTATACACACACACATATAAAATCAAATGTCTAGGAAGCACACATTTACATTAATGGTGACATTACAAACATCCTGCCAGGTATACCTCCAAACTATACGTGAAATATGATTACATTTCATAAATACTAATCTACCACCATGGTCTAAGCCATTGCCTTTTTTTTGGGGGGGGGCAGCTTGTCACTGGGTAAGAAAATTTACCAGAGAGAGATAAAGAAAAAGGAAAAGTGATAAATCAGCTCCTAGGGGAGATAGCCACACCACAGTCTCTTCTCCTCCATTTTCCTTTTGGGATTTTGGGCATGTATGTAAAACAATCCAGTGTGAGTTTCAAGCCACCAGATCTGGGCCTTGAACCACGCTCACCATGTGGGAGTCCAGCACCTTAACTACCATGCCACCTGATGGCCCCCAATTGCCATTTTTTAAACTTCCAAAAGGTTCATGTACTTGCCAGAAAGAGAGAGAAGAATGAAGAGTGAAGGAGAGGGAGACAGCATCCCCTAATGGGGCATGGTCATTCTCTAATACGTTCTCCTCCATTTCTCCATCCTATCAGGATTTTGGACATGCAAACACATATGCTTGGTATGTTTCTAAAGCCACTGGAGCTGGGATTCAGACCATGGTCGGCCATGTGTAACCCAGTTCTCTTAACCACAAGTATACTGGCCAGCCCAAGCTATTGCCATTTCTTACCTGCTTTATCTCAACAACCTCCCAACTGGCCTCCCTTGCTTTATTCTCAATAAGGATCAGCACAACAGGCAAAGTAATGCTGTCCACAAGTCAATTTTCATCCCTTTCTGAATAAAACTCTCTAACAGCAACCTATTTTATCTAAGTAAAAGAAAGTCAAGGCCCTTGCAGAGTTCTTTGAGGCAATACAGGAGCTGAACCCAGTTTCCTGCCTGATCTCACGTCTTAGTGTTCTGTGAGTACAGACTTCCTCGTCTTCCTAGGACTACGACCATCCTGAGCATGTTCCTGCCATAGGCTAGATATCCCATAACCTACCCCTCACCACTTCAAGTCTCTGTTCAGGTGTGACCTTCTCATTGAGATCTCCTGGACAATACTATTTAAATGACATCCTCCACATTCTGTACTCCCAGAGTCACCTTCCTCACTTTGTTTTCCTTCAGTGCACTTATTACCTTCAACATACAATGTAATTTGTCATTTAATTTGTTGCCTATTTCTTTCCCAGTGGATATAAGGTCTGTGGGGACAGGAATTTCCAACTGTTCTATTGACTTCTTTTTATTTGCCTAGAATAGTTTCTGACATAATAGGCACTCAATAAGTATTCACTCAGTGACCACATAAGGATATTTATGTTTGCCTTATTTAAGATAGCAAAATACTGGAAATAACCTACATGTCCAACAAAAGAATGAATAACGACAGTTTTCAATAAAATATAGAGTTATTTGATTGTTTTTGTTTTTGTTTTTGGAGAGGTTTTTGCTATAGGGTGCACACGCTCACCAGAGACAGAGACAGAGAGAAAGAAAGCGAGAAATCACTCCGCAGGGCGGGGGTTGGCCACACCGCAATCCCTTCTTTTCCTGCCTGATCTCACGTCTTAGTGTTCTGTGAGTACAGACTTCCTCGTCTTCCTAGGACTACGACCATCCTGAGCATGTTCCTGCCATAGGCTAGATATCCCATAACCTACCCCTCACCACTTCAAGTCTCTGTTCAGGTGTGACCTTCTCATTGAGATCTCCTGGACAATACTATTTAAATGACATCCTCCACATTCTGTACTCCCAGAGTCACCTTCCTCACTTTGTTTTCCTTCAGTGCACTTATTACCTTCAACATACAATGTAATTTGTCATTTAATTTGTTGCCTATTTCTTTCCAGTGGATATAAGGTCTGTGGGGACAGGAATTTCCAACTGTTCTATTGACTTCTTTTTATTTGCCTAGAATAGTTTCTGACATAATAGGCACTCAATAAGTATTCACTCAGTGACCACATAAGGATATTTATGTTTGCCTTATTTAAGATAGCAAAATACTGGAAATAACCTACATGTCCAACAAAAGAATGAATAACGACAGTTTTCAATAAAATATAGAGTTATTTGATTGTTTTTGTTTTTGTTTTTGGAGAGGTTTTTGCTATAGGGTGCACACGCTCACCAGAGACAGAGACAGAGAGAAAGAAAGCGAGAAATCACTCCGCAGGGCGGGGGTTGGCCACACCGCAATCCCTTCTCCTCCATTCTCCTCTTGGGATCTTGGGTATGCACGCACAGGTGCCCGGCCTGAGTTTTTTTAAGCCACCAGGTCCAGGACACAAACTGCGGTCGACTACATGGGAGTCCAGCAACATAGCCATTACGCTAACTGCTAGTCCCGAATTATTCAATTGTTAACTGTATTAACAGCATCATCTGTGTAAATGTTTACCATCGAATAATTTTAAAAGTTGAAACTGATCTTAAGTTTTCTTTAAGAACAACTAGATGAAATTTTCTGTGACTATGAAACAAGGAAAAACATACTTTGTAGAGATGTTAGGGTACACTTGGGGTTTCTAAATACAATCATGCACTGCATAATGATGTTTTGGTCAGTGATGGTCTCATAAAACTATACCATATAACCTATGTGTGGAGTAGGCTGTGCCATATAGGTTTGTGTAAGTACACTCTGATATTTCCACAAACCATGAAATTACCTAATTCCCACATAGATCATGGAGCAAGATCATAATGGTTCAAGGAGCCACACTTGGTTAGATTATAATAAATCTGATATAAATGTAAGTTGCAAAGTCTAAACACCTACAGCAATTATTTTACATTTGTAATTATCTTAAAATTAGGCAATACGGGGAATTGTGAATGTAATAAGATAGTTGCCTAGGAGATCAAATTCTGTAATATAAAACAGATCCTGCATCCAGAAGTCATTAACTTCTAGCAGCTTGATAAATAAACATCCACATGATTCTAAACCTTACAAATGCTTCACTTTTGCTGTTCATCTCTGAGACTCAAATGTTGGAAATCATATGTATTCATATTTTGTATAAGGAACTCTAACTATCTTTGGATTCTTTCATTCCTTATTTGTTAATTTATATCTTCTCTAATTCTTTTAATTAGAGTCCACCTAAGTCTTTGCTTCTCCTTTCACCATCAGTTGTTGAGTTTCAGTTTAACTTCACTGTTGTTTAAGGAAATTTCACCATTTGAATAATTACATTGGCAAAATGCCTCAGAGGCTAGCTTGTGGAGAAAAAAATTATATGCTGAGCTTCAGAACAAATTAGTATATTATGTGCAGTGAAAAAATATGAAAATTCTCACCTCTAGAGACCCTCTAGGAAAATTGAGATCTTGATTCTACCTGTACGTAAAGACATTAAAAAGTTGAACATGAATGAGGCAGAATTTCACATTGTAAGGGTATTTGACATGTTTAGATATAAAAAAGTCAGATGTCAATCTTGTCTTTCTCTTTCAAGGAGCCTCGCTGTAAATAGTCCACAGAGTACTAATAGCTGCACCTAAGCAGAGTCAGAGAGCAGAGCCCTGAGCAGCTAACATCTCTAGGATCATGTTGATCCTTAAGGTGCAAGAGCTTTCACTTTCTGTTGATTTTTGTGTATGATGAAAACATCTAAATTATGAATACTTACACTCATTCAAACACCTCCTTCAAATCTTCAAGTATTTCAATTCCTTTGAGTATATCTTTTATGTTGGAATAAGGTGACTGACATAAATGCAAGTAGGAGAAGCAAAATAGACCCTGAACATTTACCCCAGTGACTGCCAATGTGAATGCTTAGAGGGGCGCTGAGGAGGGGTCTGTTCGCTGCTTTAAACCAGAGAGTCAAAGAGCCATTTGGGAAGAGTCTAGGGTCACAAGATCTTCTGGTTTGTCAAGGAAAGCCAAGATACCTGAATTTTAACATAAAATATATTGACTTTCAAAAGTTGGCAACTAATTCAAATGTTTTAACACATAAGAACTCCAAATGCCCCAGGCTATGTTCAGACTGCAGGTCATTCAGTTTGACCTCAGCTTAACATATCAAAGACTAAGCAGCCAGAGGAGGGCCTGGGAAAGAGAGATAAGAAAAACAGAGCTTTAGATAGCTATTATCTGAAGTGGGAACTTGGAAAGAAAGAAATGCTTAGGCGCAATTTTTCAGGATGTTTTCAGTGTGATTGGTGGTGTAAGTCCAAGCATAAACCCAAACACTTTATATACATATTTACACTTACAAGTGATAACTATTCCACAGTCAAGTTTTTATGAAAGATCATATTTGATTTCATGTCATAGTTTATGATAAAACCATAGCTCTCAGGAATTTAGTAAGGCCATCAGAGCTATTCATATGTAGTATAAAAGGTGTAATGCCTTCCCAGCTTTTACTGTTTCCAGCTGCAGATAAATGTAATACAAAGGATAAGTGTTAAAAGATGCACTGAAATATATCCAAGGCACCTAGTTCCTGATTTCCAGACACACCTGAACCCACTCATTTGACTATATATATAGTGAGTGATATAGACTGAACCTTCCTCTTAAAATTCATATGTTAAAGCCCTAGTCCCCAACATGATGATGTCTGAGTAGGTTTAGATGAGGCTGTGGGTATGGAGACTCAACAATGGGTTTAGTGCATTTATGAGAAGAGGCACAGGAGAGTGCTCACTCTCTCTCTACCTGCCATGTGACCAAATAGCAAGAAAACAGTCATCTACTATCTGGAAAGAGGGCCCTCATCAGAACCCAACCAGGCTGATGCCCTGATCTTAGACCTCTCATACTTCCCGAAGTATAAGAAATAATTGTCTGATGTTTCAGCCACCTTGTATATGGCATTTTGTTACTGTACCCCTAGATGACTAAAGTAAATGGATATATTAAATTTGCAATGTATTCCTGAGACATGGTGGTTAAGGCACTGGACTCCCACATGGCCAACCACAGTTCAAGTCCCGGACTTTGCAGCTTGCTCTCTCACTTTCCCTCTCACTTCTTTCTGTTTCTTTCTGGTGATCACATGTGCCTTATAACAAAATTTAAAATAATAATAAGTAAAATTTAAATAATTCTTATTTTAAAAAAATAGATTCTTCCACCATGTCTCTAATCTACCTTCAGATGGTAGAAATCATTAGTCAATCAACCTACAAAAAATAAATTGTAAAGTCAACTCTTACATAGAGTGTCAGCATGGAAAACCTTGCTATGAACTGAATGTTTGTGCCCACTGAAAGTTTGTATGTTGAAATCTAATCTTCAGTATGATGGTATTTGGACTGGATGTCACAATCCTCCAGCCTCCCATCATTGTGCCATAGGGTGGGTGCCACTATGCCCGGTTAATGTGACGGTATTCGGAAGTGGGTCTTTGGGAGGGAACTAGTTGCTGAGAGTGGAGCCCTTATGAATGGGACTAGTGCCTTATAAGACATAGCCTGACAGCTGACCTTTGCTCTCTACCCTGTGAGAATAGACGGAGGCAGACAGATACCTCCAAACCAGAAATAGGGCCTTTAGCAAACACTGGACCTGTAGGCACCTTGATCTTGCACATTCCAGCCTCAAGAAGTATGAGAAGTTAATGTTTGCTATTCAAACCACCCAGTCTATGATATTCCCTTATAGCATTCGCAAATGACTAAAACAGATCTTCACGTTTAACATTCTTACCTTACCCACTTAAATGCAATTTTTAAATTTAGTTCTATGGGACCAGCAGTTAGTGTAATGGCTATGTCGCTGGACTCCCACGTAGTCGACCCTGGTTCGAGTCCCAGACCTGGTGGCTTAAACTCACGCTGGGCACGTGTGCGTGTGTGCCCAAGATCCTGAGTGTGGCGTGGCCATCCCCCCGGATGGTGATTTCTCGCGTTCTGTCTCTCTGTCTCTCTCTTTCTGGCAAGCGCACGCACCCTATAGCAAAAGCCTCTCAAAAAAAAAAAAAAACAAAAAAAGAGCTAGCAGTTCCTGTAACACTATAAGTATTACCTATAAAATCTGTACTCCACATTTTGTTAAATGAAAGACTGTGGTTTCATTTAAGGAACATGTGATTTAAAGTCAGTAAGATCAAGGTTAAATTGTGACACTGTCATTTAGTAATTATGCAATATTGAGTACCTTATTTAAACTATCAGAGAATGGAATGTCAGTTTTCTAAAATGAAAATAGTACAATACAAACCATTTGATTAAATAAAATTTGTAAAACATTTAATACAGTGGAACCCATGCCACTTATTTTTCTATTTTTCCCTAAACTTGAAGCTAAAATTGATATATCCTTGTGTAGCTGTGAGGAGCTAAGTTTTTCCTAGAGGCGATTCCTGACTCAAGAAGAAATAGCTAAAAGTCTAAGAAGCAGATCAGAATTTCCAACAGGGATAGGGAATGAAAATAAAAGTAAAAAATTGAACTCCAGGATCAGCCAGAGTGGAGCTCTCTTAAAAACTGCAAGCTTCAGGTTGGTACATGAATGATTATACACTAGGAGAAAGGTTGAACCAGAAATAGTCCTTGCTGTTACTAAAGCCCAGCTTTGAATTAATTCAGTCTCTAAAAAATAGATTAAGAAAACATTAATTTTCTATTGCTCTAAACAGATTACCAGAAAAGAAAAACATACCTTTCCTGTCAGTGATTTTTTTATTGACTTCAGTTGTGGTGATGCAAGTGACCTCTTTATGTTAACTGCTGAGTGTTTGGTGTACTTGTCTGTGTTTATTATAAAGTATAAAAACACAGTCATCTGTTGCTTAAAAATGGGGATACATTCTGGAAAATGTGTCATTAAGGGATCTTGTTGTGTGAACATCACAGAGTGTACTTAACACCTGTGCTGTGCAGTGTGGCCTATGGGCTCCTCATAGAACCGCTGCTGGGGATGCTGCCATCACTGATCAAACGTAAGTAAAAGGAATCACTTAGAACAAGGGGCAACAATGTGTGTCACTTCCACAAAACTCGGAGTTCTAAAGAGCACATTTGGAACACACTATTGTTAAGAGATATGTAGCATCTTTGCTGAAAATATCTTAAAATTGCAGGGACGCAAGGTATACGATTGTTTATCAAAGCAAGGTTGTTTCCAACAATGATATACATTGTTATGACGTACCTACTTTATGTGTCACAATCCTCTCTGTTACAACAAGCCACATCTCATCAAATTGTTTCCTTGTCTATGGAGATTTTTTGTGTATTTGTTTGTAATCATATCCATTAAAATATTTAGTAAATGACTGATGTCCTAAGTTCCGAATTATTGATAGGTAGGTTGACATACACTTTGAAGCTCACAGGCACGGCTAAGAATGTTTTTGTAGCCATTCAACCCAAATGCACATCCATTCACATCTGCAGCTAAAGTGGCAGGGCTGGTGGGCAAGAGAAAACATTGGCCCTGGTTTGGTTCTGTTATCAAAACACATGTGATAATGTCACAGCCAGTACATTTTGTTTTCAGATATGTGTTTGCACTGGCTTGACAGTGAACTTAAAAAGTGTAATAGATATGAGAACAAGGAATTCTAAATTTGCACCCTTCAAGAATTTTGATACTATCAACCAGTCTGTGTTGTCTTAAAATACACACACATTTAAAAAAAAAAAAAGTGTCTTTTTGGTTGCCCTCAATATATTACAAATCAGGACAGATCTTACACTAACAAATTAATGGCAATACTAGCTCACATTATTTTAAACTCAAAAGGCTGAGATATTTGGATTTGTGTCTTGTTGGAGGTTTTCAAAAAGACTGTGTATAATCCTCATTGCTTTTCCACTATTGATAAAGAAACAGTTTGTAGTGTTAGAAAATGGAGAGTATTTGAAAGCAGAAGCTAAGTGCAGAATTGGATTCCACTTTACCACTTACTAGTTCTGTTGCTTTAATTAAGTCGCCAAATTTATTCCATTTAATTATATTTTTTTCCATCTGTGCAATAAGAACTTCCTCACTGAGTAGTTACAGACATAAAATAAGTTAAGGAAAACATGTTCCTTGCCTAAATGTATGACTACCACCTATACACAAGCCTCCTCAATTTACAGATATGTAAACTTAAGACTCGGAAATTGTGGCCTAGCCAAGGTCACAACTGATGAAATCTCTTGCTTATGGTGTTCTCTTCTATGGAGTACAGTGACACTATCCCTCATATTCAGGTGCTGTGTCGCTCTTGGCAGTGCTGGGAGAACCTCAGCCCCTAAGCTAAGGGTATGGAGGAGCCTTTTTAAATAGAAAACAAACGTCATTGCAGGCCCAGTTGTGGGGGCACAGGCAAGAGGGCACTGCTGTATGATACTGAAGCCACATGGAAGACCTGGATTCAGGTCCCAGGTCTA